ATTTTTTTTTATAATGATATCATTTTAATTCATGAAACTATTTAGAAATTATATCATCTAGAAAATTAAAATTACTGCTTTATAAAAAATTTTAAGATATAAATATTCTGAACTAAAATCAAACATGTTATCTACTTGAAACACAATGACATAAACTAAAATATTCTTTTCCTTGCTTTGTTTCCATTATGACTATTCATTGTCAGCAACGCTTGCCTTAATTCCGAACGACAATCTTCTTCATTTACTAATAGTATTTCCTTAAATAACGTTTCAGAAATATATATTTTATTTTTGCAGGATTTTTAAAACCGGGAATTAACTTTTGTTTACAAATGTGTCAAATATTTTAGTTAAATAAATATAAGTTTGTCTTATTGATATAATTTCAGTTTATGAAACTATTTAGAAATTATGTCATCTAGAATAAATCTAAAGAAGCTATTATCTAGAAAATTAAATTCATTGCTTTATAAAAGCTTGAGGGGCCTTAGGCTGCAGTCTACATTAGCCTAAAGGATAATCCAGCTCTGCCCGCGTGGGTTAAATTTTCCAAGATCTCCTTCCTCATTATGTGTCCAAGAAATTTCAGCTATCTCTTCCTGAACCTCAGCATAAGTGTTCTTTTTGCTGCCATTTTCTTTAAGTTTTCTGCGTTGCTTACTCTGTCTGTCCATGAAATTCACAGCATGTTTTTGTAGAGGATAGTAAGAAAGGAACTACCATCGATTTTGTGTGTCGATTAACTTTGTCGACAATTGAAAAACTCTTTGGTGCATAAACGTATGTTCTTATCCATGTCAGGCCAAAAGTAACGGGATTTGAATTAGTTTTACAGTGGCTGTAGTTCTTGGATATGACATATTGTGAAAGGTATCATAGATCGCTTAGCGCGATGCTTATGGAATAAATGGTCTTGGGTAAGATGTGGAAATGTCACATAATATTGTCTTGTTGCCAACAGTGTAAGCCTTCAGTCTGTCCATATGGGTGTCACGCTCTTGCTGCTCAACGACGGCTGGTAAGTTACAAATATTGACTCTCACTGCATTTGCTGGTCTTGAGAGGCAGTCTGCAACAATGTTTTCTTCCTCACGAATGTACATATCTGTCACGTATTCAGTTATTAACGACAGGTGTCTCTGTTGTTCGTTTGATTTCATTGGTGTTATTTTGGAAGCTAATGCTAGCAGTTTATGGTAAGTGAACAAGGTAACATGTTTGCCTTCAATTTGTGTTTTGAATTGTAACACTGGCAAGTAAGCTGCAAGTAACCCCTGGTCAAATATGGGCCGTTTTGTTTGGTTTCCAGATAGTTTCTTTGAGAAGATCCCTATAGGAACAGCTCTATCGTTAAATATTCGATGCAATGTTGCTCCAACGGCATAATTTGAACTATCCGGTGAAAAATGATAATGACTTACATCTGAGTCGGGATAAGGAAGTGCAGACAGTTTCCTGAGGACATTTTTAATGTTCCAGAAGGTTTCTTTTTCAGCATCGTTAAACTGTATGATTTTGCACTGTAGGCGCTTCTTTATCAGTTCATTGAACGGTAGAAGGATTTCTGCTGTTTGCGGAACAAGTTTCTTATAAAAGTTAACCATTCCCAGGAAACACCGAGGTGATTTTGAATCCACCGGTTCAGGAAATTTGTCGGAGTTAGCTGCTCCTTAATTCCCAAATTGTCACTAGCGGTCGTTCTCCCTATACTATAACTACTGGGCGACTTCTCGCCTTGTTCTCTTTCCTTCAGGCCTCGTGCCGCGTCCCACCTCGCGTAGAGGTGAGGTAAATCCTCTTTTTCATTTCTTCATTTCAACGACTACAGCGTAAGCTTTCTTAGAAGATCCGCGTCTTCCCATTTGTGGAAGACGCCATGAACATTATACACACATACACATACGTACGAACATTCACAAAGAACAAACACCAATGTTCACACAAAACACAAATGTTATTGTCTATGTCCATTGTAAAATTGTTTTGTTTAATACATACATATATATATATATATATATATATATATATATATATATATATATATATATATCGGTTTTGTTTGTCTTCTTTATCTTCAGTTGAACTTAACTTGAGTCCGACAATTTTCTTGTAGTTGAACCATTTAATATTCTACCAGGAGTTACACATGTGTTTCTAATACAACACGCAAACACGCACGGTCCTCTATAAATTCATTTATTTCTTGCTTCTTTTCTGTTGTGGTTAAGCCTTCTGGACTAATGTGATGGCATAGAGATTCAAGTTCCTTCTTGAAGAATTGGCACTTGTCCAGTGCGATTTTTAGATCATTCTTTTGTAAAATCTCCAGGACTTGTTTTTATATCTGCGAAATGTTATTTTTCTGTTTCGAAGAAACTGGCATCATGGGAAGATTAATTAAAAAAAATTCTTTATTATTATTTTATTTATTGGCTTTATTTCAACGTTTAAAACCACAATAAGCCACCTGTCAAAAGGGCCGTTATTCGTTTGACACCGCCATTATTGCCTATACCTTTGATTCCCTCGATAATGTTTATTGTTTTAAAAACCGATGATTAGAATTTCAATAAAACCCCAAAATATGAAATTGGATTTATACATTTTCTTTATTCTTGAGAATTGACAACAAAGATGTTAAACACTATTTATTTATTAGATTGTTTATTTGCAAGGATAATTTTATGTTATGGGGTCCTCCCTTTTTCATATAAGTGGACTCTACCAGTGTTACTTGGAGGGCTGTCGTTAAATACCCAGAGTAGACAGTCAGTGAGAGTAGTCGGAAAGAGAGGATATACGGAGAGAGAGAGAGAGAGAGAGAGAATGTACGAACGGAGATAGTGTGAGGTAACCTCTTGTAGAAGTCAGTTACAAGCAAGTAGACTCTAAGGAAGTCCTACTTCGAGACTGTATATATCTATCTGTATTTGCTACTAACCACGTTCCTGGATTTACTAACAGTATTACTCTTTGCATGATTGTGTAAATACATTTTATTTCTTATATTTAATTATTGCGTTTGTCATTCCTTGGAGACCGAATTCATCTCGGAATCCACAACATTTTATATTAACAAGATTACACAATATATGTGAACTAACTATAATGAAATATTTATCATTTACCATTTTATAAAGAAATAAATCTGAAAATAAATTTTTTATTCATGAATTTATAAAAACGTTTGTGAACAAGAAAATGTAAATAAATAGTGGACTTTCTCGGGAGCAGGTTATGGATAGTTGACTTATGGAGCGCAAAAAGCGTTTAGTTCTTGTGGCTAACTTGTATAAGATAGTGGCAGCGATTATTAATTATTCCGGGTGCTTTCCGGAATAAAGCAATCTTAACCCAACACAATGATTAAGCAAGGCATTTAAACATGAATTTAAAATGAAGAAAAAGATAAAGATTTGTTCATCAACAAATAACTATTTGGGTAGTTTATATATCGAGCGGTGAATATAATAAGACACTTGAAAAGAAGGCTAAGTTCGCATAACATATTTAAATAGGAAAAGATAACATACACACATTTACGTGTGTTTAAGGAAAACCCTTTGAAAGAGGAAAGTTTTGCACGCGCATTTAGGTGTGTTTAAATAAACCCCTGAAAATGGAAAGGTACAAAGTCATACGTTATTAAATTTATGAAAATGGAAAAGTTCCAAGATAAAACACACATTGAGGTATGTTTAATAAAACCCCATGAAAGTGGAGAAGTCCATACCTTGGATTCATTCTTGAATCTACACGAGAAAAGCGTGAAATGTTTCAGTGGATTAGTAAATCGATTGAGTTGACAACACGTAATCCATTCACCAAATGCCCTTGTTTGCTTTATGGTCTGTATTTATAGCTTCCCTTAAGCACGTACTGGCTCACAAAAGGTGCCTCGAAAATGCGAGGGAAACGCTGTCAGTGGTTGATTAATAATTTTGAATGTTTTCAACGCCACTCGGAGCCTTATGCGTAAATAACTGATTTTGGTCATTTGACTCCTGACTCTTGTAATGGAAGTTTCTGATCGACCTGTAATTATAAATTTTGAAAAAATGCATTTTCCTGGCATTTATTTCATTTGTTTTCGCCACACAAATTCGCTAAAATAGTTTAAGAGCATCTCTTCTTTAATTTTAGATTTTGGGCAAGACCACAAACAAAGATTCTCTAAAAATGAGCACACATGATGAAAAAATGCCCGAAACTTAAAAAAATCTTTGGTCTTTCCTTTTAATATTAGTATATTTATAATTTGATGATAGAACGATTTTATTAAGCAAAATTATTTTTTTTAAACTTTTTAGAACCTTCGAAATTTTGCTAGCGCTTAATGTTTATATTAGTTATAAGGACAAGTCCTAGGAGCATTTAAATCATCAAATTTCATTGGTTGAACAGGACTCCCAATTAGAGAAAATCTTCTCTGAACTCAGACATTTAATTAGAAAAGCTTTTAACTGCTGTTATGAATAAAATTTATTATGAACACTGTTGTCTTAAGAATTTGTTCTTCAATAGATAATGAATTTTACAAGAATTGTTTTCATTTAAAAATTTTTTTTTAATTTATAATGTTTAAAAATTATGTATCAATTTGTAAAAGTCAAATGATATTGTTATTAAATAAAAACTATATTTACTAACCATAAATGGAAAGGCTTACTACATTTAAGCGAACCACAGTATTTTAAAAATAATTTTTAATTTATATTTGTGTGTATAAACATGCCAATTTTTGATTGATTCGTTTTATACGGATTATCAACTCTTTGCAGGTTATTTAAAGCCAGAAAATGTTTTTAGATTCTAAGATATTTTTTTTAGATAATAATGGTTTGGTTATGTAAATCTTACTATTTAACCCATAGTTGGGGGAAAAGAAGTAGATTCATACCTTTCCCAAGGGTATTTGCGTAAAAATGAATATAACGACCCAATGGGAATTGAAACTCGGCTCTCCGATTAATAATTACACCACCCACACATCCAAGCTTACAGAACCTGATATTCCCAAGTGGTCACCGATTTAGGTACTGACCAGGCTCGACGTTGCTTAATTTCAGTTATAGTATAGGAACCGGTACTTTGGACGTGATATGGCCGTAAGATCGCTGATTTTTGTAAATAGGGACATCCATACTTGACATTATCAGAAAATAAGAGCAGTAACTATAGTAAATTTAGAATTTATTGAGGATTTTCTAACATTTTCTCAACAAGCGTTTTCATAAGTAAAGACTATAAAGCGCCAAAGTACCTAAAATTTAATAAAATATTAGAATGCTTGAAATATTTTAAATTTTGAAGATTACTGGGTAGTTAAAAATATCTAAAAAAAAAAAGCGTTTACGTTGTATTCGTCATGTAATTTTATTACAAGTATTTCCCTCTTAAATAAATACTGCAAACTAACATCAGGTTATCGTTAGATGTGTCAACGCCTCATAAAAACACCCACCTCTGTGTAAAAAAGATACTTTTCTCTGATATCTTAAACGAAATGTATGTAATATCCATTTTAATTCAGATCAATTAAACTTTAAATCAGTTAATGTTCTTCAAATAAAGTGTAAAAAAAAACATTTTATTTTTGGAAGATTTTTTAATAAAGAAAATTCTATTGTGTTGACAGATTTATTAATATGGGCGATTTTAACATTTTTTACTGATAATAAAAACTCGTACTCAACTTAAATTCGGGTTGAAATACAACAAAGTATTTTGTTTGATTATTGGTTGGAATTAAAACTAAAAGCTTCAAAAGTTTTACTTTTAAAATGCATATTTAATCTGAGGTATCGCTTTTTTTTCTCTTTTTTGAGGTACCCATAACAGGTCAGCATGAACTCACTCAACTCAAAGCCCAACCGGATTTGGCAGGTGACAGCTTGGCTAACTAAAGTATCATATCAAACCGTTTCTTCTCTAAACAAATCACCGGTGCCAATTCATTGTTTGTCTAACAATTATTTATTGACAAACTTTATAGATCTTTATATATCTATTTTTAATTGTTCCTAATGTCAATGTAGTTGTTTATTTATTATAATAATAGTTATCATTGTCTTCAGTTAACACTAGTTTTTACACCACCACTCGTATCTGGTGACTCTTTCTGGGGTTAAGTGCAAGTAAGCCTTTCCATTACTAAAATTTTTAGTAGCCATGTTGTTTAAAAATTTTCTTCATTTCCAATTTTTCGTATTTAAATTTGAAATTATAAATGAAATAAAATAAAATTTTGTCGAATTTTCAGAGGATGTGTAGGGACATTATCCCTAATTTAACAAAATAAAAAAAAATAATTGAATAGCATATACCTGAATCATACTATTCTTTTTATAATCATCATAACTCACAAGCAGCAGCCTCATAGCGTCTAGAGGAGGAGAAAGAAGGTGCGATGGCCCCGGGGATCTATATCGGGAGGGCATCCAAATCAACGAGTGAAATAAAAAAATATTTTTTTAAATAAGTGTTTATTTCATGTTTCATGAACTTACGGCTACATCTAGCCAGGTCAATTGTGGAGTGATGTCGACGCCAGTCTAATACTGCGCTTAAATTAGAAAAAAAAAGTCTAGGTAACATAGCGAAGATCGATATCTATTTCCGCTTATATACAAAAAATGTGGCACAAGGACAAAAAAGAAGAGATTGGGGAAAAGGGCGGTCTTCATTTGTCTTCTTAACATTTAAGCTTAGCTAGTCACAAACGCTGACCCAAACATAACACAATATTCCTAATACCAAAACTACACATTCTTCTTTCTTAACTACATCCACCATAATGCCTCAATTGTCTCTATGAAAATCCTAACTAGTCCCCATATGTACAATTCATTGTCTGTGGGGGAGGGGGTGGATAAAATAATTTAAAAATCTAAACTCCAATGAATATTTACAAAAATGAACAAAACTATTTACAAGAAACTGAACAAATAATAAAACCTCCACAATCCTTAAATAGTTTGGTTTAGTTTATATTTTGTTTACGGCATATCAACCTCAATGGGTTATTTAATGCCGGCAACAATTTTAGGATAGATTCGTATGAACAGAATATGTATTCTTTGGTTTAGATTGGTATGGTTTATTTTGCTTTACGGCATATCAACCTCAATGGGTTATTTAATGCCGACAACATTTTTAGGATAGATTTGTATGAATAGAATATGTATTCTTTGGTTTAGATTGGTTTGGTTTATTTTGTTTTACTTCATATCAACCTCAATGGGTTATTTAATGCTGACAACATTTTTAGGATAGATTCGTATCATAGCGATCATCATCAACACACACATATACATACCTATACAAATTCAAATTTCAATAACAATCATTGGATGGAAATCAACGCTAGTCTTACGCGACAATTTTGAAATCGCTATATTTTCGTATAGTAGATTTTGTGCACTTTTGGGAGAATCGGTTCCCAGAAATCTCCTCAAAGCTCATTCACTGATTGGTCAGTGCCGACCAATCGGATTGTCTGTACGTGAACAGTGATTCTTCCCGCGCAGCACTTCTGATCCAATGATCACTTATAAAAGCAAGAAAAAAGTGTAGACACACCAGTGAGACTTCAGCTGCCACAGAAATCCACAACATTTGAAGCTATGCGCCGATCTTCTCACTCAACGCTCACAAACTGCATATTCCTTACACTTATATAATTTTTCCTCTTGCACAGCAAAACTGTTAAAAAACATTTATTACAAACTATTAACTCTTTCCTATCAGAGAACTTTGATAGACAATGATAGTCAAAGAGAGACAACTCTCGTCTTACTCATTGCATAGTTTTTTTTACACATTATTTATTGTATACATTGTTGAATACAATTTTTATATATAATGATACCTTTGCCTTGTCCTTTCTTCACATCAGTTTGGTGAAAATCAAAATTAAATAAATAAATGTGGTGAAAGTCCGCCACAGTATGAATAGAATATGTATTCTTTGATTTAGATTGGTTTCGTTTATTTTGTTTTACGGCATATCAACCTCAATGGGTTATTTAATGCCGACAACATTTTTTATTGCTGGCAATATTTTTTTTTTGTCAAAAATCTGTTTCTGGTAATATTTTTCCTTCAAAATTGTATTGCTGGTAATAATTTTTTTCAAAAAGGTATTGCTGGTAACAGTTAATTATTTGCCCATAGCTGGGACCCTAACAGGTACTACCACCCTGGGTCAGGGTGGACCTGGGAATATCAGCAATTAAGAGGTGGTTACACGCTCCTCAAAACCTCCTGATCAGAGGCATTGCTGCTGGATGTAGTTTAACGTCTTACCCAGAACGCCAATCCTTAAATGTGGCAGAAACCTCAGTTCAGTCGGTTATATGCCATGCGTAATACACACTTAGGCGATCATGTATCTTTCGATACATGACTGACGATGCAGATTTTTTCCCACAGTAGGTTTTTATTTCTTTCATCCAAGGCTATAGAAACCGGTCTGCCCTGCTATTTACCCATAGCTGGGAGATATTAGCACGTAAGTGAATGTAATGGATTCGACTGGAATTTAAAGTCGGCTCTCCGATTCCTCAATCCGAGCCGCTACCCATTACTCCACCGTAAATGGACGAAATCAACGCGGGACTTTAATAATAAAACATTCATTCATCCATTCACTCACTCACTCAAGCACACACTCATTGAAACAGAACAACAAATACGAAAATGTGTCATAACGAAGAACTCATTTGAACTGTTGCCATGAAAATATTTATAGAAAAGGCACAGAGAGGCAACCTTACGGTGGTGAGAAAGTGACTGAAGCCGAGCTGCCAGATCAGGACCAATAATATTGCTGATTCTTTGGATTTTATCAAGTAACCCAATTTTAAACTGTTATATAAAACGTCGCGTTTATGTTGTTTTGTTCATAATTATTTGTTCTTTTTTAATGGCTTTCCGATACTCAAATTATTTATCAGAGTTTGAGTGAGCGAATCATTCCTCATGTGTCATTTAGTTGCCATTTAAATATTTATTCTGAGACTCAGTAGAAAGTCTTTTTTCATGATGTTTTCAAATTTTACAATTTTAACGGTAGGTGCCCGACGCGCATGCGCAAAATTTATATATTTCGATTATATTTCTGATCAAATGATCAATCCTTTATTTTACCTACCTACCTACCTTTCTACTTCATTAACCGCAGTCGAGATCAATCATGGACGACATTACCCAGCACCGCCGTTAATTATAAACTCCCTAATTGTTTCGATGGTGGTATGTGTGCGTTGCTAAGCCTACACACGGTTCTGATAAATGAAAATATAAATTCTTCCTGTGTATCTTACTTTTGATCGTCTTGTGTCAGACTGACCAAAGTTTACTAAATCACAGTTTGTAACTTTTTGATGATGTAATCGTTTGTGTGTTGTATTCTTTTATTAAAATGGTTGTCAATTGTTGAAGCGATAGAACTTAACTACACGTCTACACGAACGAGATTTGACACAAAAACGGATTTAAAGTGGAAACCCCACGTATGAATGGGATAGTAATAAAAATAGTTTGCTTCCTTTCACACTCCTCTTTTGAGACACTTACGTCAAAGATTCAACCGCCTTTTTATTTACAAAGGGAGAGGCCCAGCCTGGTGGGGATGTCCCACTTCAGGTTTGTGCTGCTGGAGTCGGAAGAGACGGGTTTCCCGTTTCGTCATTTTACATAAGAGCAATCTTAACAGGGTTTCCTATTTGCTGAAAGATTATATTAATAATTTTTTTTCAAGTTTTTATTATTTTTTTTATCGCTTCTTATTATGATTGATTGATTTGATTTGTTTGTTTAACGGTATATCAACCCCTTCATGAGTCATTTAATGCCGAAATTTAATTTTCTTGGAAGCTTGAAAGTAATACAAATATGATATATGTTATTCTGCTTTCACAATTGAATACATGGTAGATGATACTCAGCTTTTGTGCATATACATGTTTGCGTGAACGTAATTAATAGAGACGGTGATTTAAGTTGTAGTGTTATTGAAGTTATATTTTTGAATACCCTTTGATTTAAGAAATTGTAGGATATTATATGGATTAATGTCATGAAAGTGTTCTTTCACGTTGTTTGTTTGC